AATACCTTGGATAGATTTAAAAATAGTCTGGATATATAAATGAATGAGAATGGTTGGGATCAATAAAGAAGTTATACTCATAACCATAATATTTTTAAAGGGTAGCCCGGTAAGCCAGTGGAAGGCCTCGGTCAGATGACCAAAAGCACCAGCTGCGGGTTGACACATAACTAAGACCCACGTCAGGAAGCACTTGTCCTGTTTCCTGACAAACCATACCTAACCTAAGATTGGGGTTAAGAACCTACCTAGTATGGGTCAGTAAGCCTACGACAATGCTACTCTGTTCTTACATTTTAAGTCAGTCACGGAGCCTGAAACCGAAAGTAAAGCCCAGGTTGTCAGTCACGCCTCTAGGACACGAGAGGGAAGTTCCTTACCATTGGCTCACTGAGGGTTGTGTTACCTTGTGAACCCCTGAAGCCTGAAGGCCAACACGCAGCTTTGACAGTGCTAACTAGCTGTCAGGAATTTAAAACGTAGGTTATTTGATACAGTGAATGCAGCTCTGATATTTACCACTGTTATACAGCTGACACTCCTTAGAGAGACACGCCCATGGATAAATAACTGACAAAGAATTTATGTAGGAATGTCAAACACACGTAAGATTTTATTCAAGTTTCATACAGACTTTATAAATTGTTTAACGTGGGAACACAGGTAGAAAGTAATGTAGGATAACCCAGTAAAGTCAAACACTATGACGTATTTTCACTAAGGCCTTTGATGTGGAAACCCCTCGAGGGAGGCTCGTTGACGCTGGCGAGGGGCTCTTGATCAGTGGAATTGGATCTGTGCTCTAGTTCATTGAACTGAGCCTGAGTACCTTCTATCTCCCTACGGTTTTACTCTCCCCCATTATGATGATGATGATGATGATAATAATAATAATAATAATAATAATAATAATAATAATAATAATAATAATAATAATAATAATAATAATAATAATTTTATATGGAAGATAAAAGTAGTTTTATTACTCGATACATCGTTCTATATAGGACTTTATTAAGAATTGATACAACTATTGTCTTTTTAGGGCTACTTAGCATGCGGTGCAAGGATCAGGGTGAATACTGCCTTGATTCATCGAATTCAGTGATTTAGTCAACGGCGTTAAGCACACGCCGATCCATGGTCGACTGGTCGTCTTGGCTACTTTCTTTGCTACCGTCAGGGCTACAATGGTCACAACTAATATCTGTGTCGTGTCAGCGTGAAGCTGTGTTTTGATGAATATAGACATGTGCAACACTTGTGTATTGATGCCCAGGTGTTGCACATGTATTATATTTATTGACCTGTCGGTATTATATGAAGTTAAAGTAATGAGTGAATTGTTTTTGTTCTTACGACTTTGGAGGACTGTGTTCTAGCCTGTTGGAGTGTGGAGATGTGTTTGTGGCTAAGGTCGACAGTGTGTGCGTGCGTGTGTGTGTGTGTGAGTGTGTGTGTGTGTGCGTAGACCTGTGTGTAGCTGACTTCGACAAGTCGAGTGTGAAGAGGCATGTCTGTTATGAAAGTCGACTGTGCGAGCGTGTGGATGTGTCGTGTCCAGAGGTCGAGTAACTCTCCTTCGTCACTTCTCCCTTACCACGTTTGTTTACATTTTTTTCTTCACTTTGTCGTTGATCGTTGTTCGTATAAGCCTTTAAATGTTTCTTTTCCTCTATTTTAACTTTACAAACACATACACAAAAACATGTATATATATTAATATATATATATATATATATTATATATATATATATATATATATATATATATATATATATATATATATATATTATATATATATATATATATATATATATATATATATATATATATATATATATTCTCTTGCAATATACGTGTAATATTTACGAACATACCCGAACATTTATAAATAACGGCGAATATCTGAAAATTACTGCTAACAGCCAGGATCACCTGACAACAACTTTGGATGACCACCAACAATTACAAACAACCACAAAGCTATACAAACAACTATGACCAACGTATTCCCCCCTCCCCCCTCTCTGATTCATTGCACCTACCCCTTCCTCTACCACCTCTCTTCCTCCCTTCCTCCTCCTCCTCCCTCTACTTCCTTTCTTCTTCTTGGCCTTTACTGTTATACCGTGGGTGCTGAACCACGCCCTTCAGCATGAGAGAAGAAAGAGAAGAGGGAGAGGAGGGTGAGTAGGGAGGAAAGGGGAATCCACAACTCACTCACACTTCCCCTTCTCCAAGGCCTCTCACGCTGTGCTTCTGTTAATAATTTAAACATTTTTTTCTTTTGCATGTGAGGTAAGGGCGAGGGAGACAGCAGCTGGGGTGAAAGAAGTCTGTGGTAAGATGACTTGGCGAAACTGTAAGATGACTTAAGGAAACCCTAAGATGACTATGATGGTGAGTACTTAACTCTTACGTGCGGGTTATTTGTGTATTGTTCCAGTCACGGTATTGCGCCAGTTTGTTCTTTAAATTCAATGAGATTTGATTACATAGGTATAACCTTTGCAGATATAGAAATTATTAACAGGACAGTACATTTGCTGCGATCATGTCTTATTTCTTTTGCGTGACTGATCTGTAGTAATACAAAATACCCAGAAGTCACCAGGTGGAGGTGCCTCCTCTTCTAGATCCAACTCCACTTATCGGAGTTCATGGGTTTGAACCTATATCGTTACACATCAATAGGGAAGAGATTCCCAGATTTTTAGGCCCTGTACTCCTTCCAAACTATGACCTAGTCTGCGCACCCCCTGTCACATTTATTACTCAAATTTACTATAATTTGATGAGTACGACAAATATGCAACACTTGGGTATTTTTAGAGCCGCTGTCATCATGGCACACATACATTACCTTCTTTGCAATACGCTCACGGTAAACAGGTGATATCGCAATATTCAAAACAACACTGAAAAAAATAGTAAAGTTCCAAGTGCTTTGGTGATTTTTCACATTATCAAGAACCTTGATAATATGAGAATTCACGAAAGCGCTTAGAACTCCACTATTTTTCACAGTAGCTGTTTTGCATTACCTTAGTTATACAAACATCATGTATTTTTACAGAATTCTGACATTTTGTTTCTTTCCTATCACTGCCATGTCTTTCAAATTGAAAATGTTTTCTGTTGTGCTTGTGGTCAACTGGTTGAACAATATTTAAGATCCTCATGAGCTGTACCATCAAATAAGTAACGAACTTGAACTAAAAGATTAGCTACATTTCGCGGCATTCATGAACCCGTCAAATTGCAGAAGGAAAAAGTTGATGTTTTTGACGTGACTGACTAGTTGGCAGAGAATGTTTTCTATCTGCTTTCACTGGATGATTGGAAAGAGGGATTGCAAGTTAAGATTTTGCTACCTTTTTTTGACTTCTGTGCAGGGGCTGATCTGCTATGAGACTAATGAAGCTTAGGTTTCAGGGCCCCTAATCCCGGAGGGACCACAGAAGTGACTTCAGTCCACATTGCTTAGAAAAAAAATTGGATCTACTCTGCGAGAAGGGGTTGCGAAAAGGACCCGGAGAGTTCAAGCTACGGGGCCCCCAAAATGTTGGTCCAGCACTACTGCTGTTGTGTGGTTAACAAGTAACAATCGTAGTGTGTTCTTGGAAGATCCTCCGCCTGAATGTGATTTCAGAAATCCTTTGATATTTCCCATTTCTCCCAGTTTACATCTGAAAAAAAAAATCAAATGAATTGTTTAGTTTGTTGATGGTGATGTGCATAAGAGGGCTTGAGAAGCTATTGATCATTATGGAATTGTTCTCACTCACCCCTTGGGGTCAGCTCGCGCACCCCTTGGGGTCAGCTCGCGCATCCCTTGGGGTCAGCTCGCGCACCTCTGAGGTCAGCATGCGCACCCCTGGGAATCCGCGCACAATAGTTGGAAACCGTTGATGATACAGTAGGGAAGCAGCACAAACCTTGTGTTCCCAGTTTTGCATCATACAGCACAACATCATGTAATTATGATACAGTCCAGGTGGACACAATGGCTGTTGCAGACAGTTGAAGAAAAGACACGACTGCAATGAACTTATTTGCAGAACATTTCCCCCCAACAATGGCCTTGGAAAAGGCCATTGTTGGGGGGAATAAAGGAACTGTATACTGGTAAGACAAAGACACGACTGTAGTCATGTCTTTGTCTTACCAGTATACAGACCGATCGTACTGTTGCATCCTTTGATCTACTTTGCAATGACCCTTATAACTGGGTTCTCGAAATTTTTTTCCTCGCTATGGGTCACTTGCTTAAGACAGGCTGTGACAAAAGTCATTTTTTCTGTAGTTTACCTGTAGACTGTTCCTGGGCAGAGCTCCAGGCAAGACCTTATGATTAACGGATAAATCTATCAGTCCTCTGGTGCCGGTCGTACACAGTCCACTGCGCGCAATACAGTCTGGTTGATCAGGAGCACATCAAGTTCCTTCTTGAAGATAACTAGGGGTTTACTGGCAACTTTTTCCACGTATGTAAAGGGAGTTGAAAATTCGTGGTCTCCCTGCATTCATTGAGCTATCTCTTAGTGTATTTATTCAGAACATGCTTACCTTTCACTGATGGCACCATGCACCATCACTGCCTTTCAATGATGGCACCATGCACCATCACTGCCTTTCAATGATGGCACAATGCACCATCACTGCCTTTCAATTATGGCACCACGCATTACTTGCAGAGCCTTCCGTCTTGATAAGGAGTAACCTCCATGATCAGATTTTATACCAACACCCCGGGAACCTTCCAGGTGCAAACTATGATATAACAACTCAGGACTTACGTTCGGTATCAGGGTCCTCAAGATATGGAAAAGGAATTGCTGTTCTGCCGGCCATTTCACACCATCACGACTCGAGAAAAATATTCTCAAGAAAGAGATACTTTTACCTTCATTTAATACATACGATAATGAAATATATCAGTCTTAGCTGGAAAATTTGCTTTAGGGTGATAATAACACCAAATATTTCACTATGGTATCAGTAATTAAGGCAGCTTTGACTTGCATTAGCTTTCAACCTCTCTGGAAGGATGGCTTGACACAGGAGACATGGCGAATATAATGGAAAACTGAAGGGAGGGGAAAATGGTAGGGGAAAGATGAGAGTGATATAGTAGGGAGGGAGGGAGGGGAGAACAAGGTATACAGGAGAGGGGAAAAACAAAGGGGAGAGGAAAAAAATGGTTACAACCTGTCGTAAAACACTGAAAAGAAAAGAGAAAGGAGGGGCATGTAATTTTTTAAAACGATATTTTATCTAAATTTCAATAGAAAAACCAGGTAAAAATAATTCCAAAATAGCTTTAAATAAAACGAATGGGAGAAGAGGGGGACAGATTTTTTAAGTTATATTCACGAGGATAATGAGAACTTTTCACTGTCACGGTCAGGAAAATGTCAATACACAAATAATCCGCACATAGGAGAGAGAAACTTACGACGACGTTTCGGTCCGACTTTGTAAATGGTACAAGTCGGACCGAAACGTCGTCGTAAGCTCCTCTCACCAATGTACGGGTTATTTGTGCAAAGTTCTAGTCATGTTATTGTGCCTTTTTGTTATTTCTGTGGAAAGTCAAGTTCGAAACATTTCGAAAAAAAGAATTTCCTAAATTCAAAGATATTTTTTCCATACACAAACACCTGTTGCACCTGTTCTAGAGTCCCTTATGGAATCAACACAGGTGAACTACAGGAAGTAAATATATCCCTGAGATGTTTCGCCCACCAGGGACTGTATCAATTATCACGAACTGATACAGCCCCTAATGGGCGATTTTTTTTTTTCAATAAAATGCCATGAACGGATCAGTCGGACTCGTAGTTTGGATTACGTGCGGCCAGCAGTAACAGCCTGGTTGATCAGGCCCTGATCCACCAGAAGGCCTGGACATGGACTGGATCACGGGATCGTTGACGATGTCCAGGTAGACTTCAGGTATGTAATACCATTGACGTACACAGGTAGTAAACGCGCCAAACAAAATCAACTAAAAGAAACCATACCATACGGTCATGTTGACGACAGTGAGGGGACTTGAGCTAGAGTTCGTCACGGCCACGCTAGCTGGAGATTCGTCTGTAAAAACTTGCATTTGTGGTCACAGTGGTGCCTGTGCTAACCTTCCTATGGTGTAGAAATATACCTAGTTGGACGAATCTTATTGTGGCTAGCTGGTCTAGTGGCTAACGCGACGGTCTGGAGTTTTGTGACTCTATGACCGCGGGTTCTATCCCCGCCCGTGGTATGGTTTGTTTGCAATTGTGTCATTATGATTTCGTGAGTCAAAATCAATTAGAGTCGCTTGGCAACCGTAGTATGGGAAAATATTATGCTAGCCAGGAAATCCTTGATTACGACGTTTCCTTTACGAAACTTTGTTATACGTGTTTTTCTGCAAACATAATGTTTTTCTACCTGACGGCTTACGACAGCGTTTATTCACTTGGCAACCGGTTGCTAAGTGAATAAAGGCTGGCATAACAGATCCTCTAGACCTTAAAAAAAGTGACCAGTTACATTAGCCTCTTCATAATAAAAACGAGTTACAAGTTAGATAAATTTCCTCACGGAAAGGTTAGTAGTTTCTATCATAATTAACAATATTATATAGTTTCTGAACTGATGCCACGAAAGAGACTTCCTGATCTAGCTGATCTAACCTAAGGAACTACGAAACCGCAGAGGAAGAGGACAAAAGTTCCCTAACTTTGCAGATTAAATGGCAAAGTATAACAGGAAGTTCGAAAATCTCTTTTTAGCAAGAAAAAATATTAGTAAATAAGAAAATATTAATAGGAATGGCACTACTACTACTACTACTACTACTACTATTACTACTACTACTATTACTACTACTACTAATACTATTACTACGCTACTCCTATTACTACTGCTACTACTACTACTGCTACTGCTACTACTACTACTAATAATAATTTGAATAAAATAAACAGATCACTGAGTTCATCAGTATGGGTAAGGCTGTGGTTGCTGGTGCTGCTGTAATCTACCACAGAACTCTGAGCAACCCCACCTTCACTTGACCTTACAACTACCCTCTTGCCATGCCCAGACCACAGTACCAAGAACGGGCCATATTATGCTTATAACTCGTGTCTGGGGCATTTACCTGACAAATTGAGGAAACGTTTCGCCTAAACAGTAGGTTTCTTCAGTTGTGATGAATGGTTTGAAAAACCGACAAGTTGAAGATTGAAACACTTATGCAACATATGGGAATCTTTATTCAAGAAGCGTTTCGCCACACAGTGGCTTCATCAGTCCAATACAAAGTAGAAAGGCGTAAGGAGTCGATGTGTTCAGTCCATCAATCTTCAGGTTTCTTCAGTCAAATACGGAGACAGAAGGTGTAGTTTCAACAAGATACATAACTATTCCACATGTGTCTTAATCATCAACTTGTTAGCATTTTAACTATTTTATACCATATTTCAGTCTGCCAAATAAAGCAACACGCGCAGGAGTATTTGCTATTAAATGTGAGTGAAGGGGAGAGATAAGTGTTTGACATGGAATAAGGTGGAGAAAGGTATACAAGGATCAGTCAAGTAATCCAGTTTAGAACCAGAAGAACAAAGTAACTATATCATAACATAGCTGAGCAACCTGTTTCACTAGTGTTAGGGAAAAGTGTGTGTGTGTGTGTACACACCTATTTGTACTCGCCTATTTGTGGTTGCACGGGTCGATTCATAGCTCCTGGGCCAGCCTCTTCATTGATCGCTACTAGGTACCTCTCTCTCCCTGCTCCATGAGCTTTATCAAACCTCATCTTAAAACTATGTATGGTTCCTTCCTCCACTACGTCACTCTCCAGACTATTCCACTTCCTGACAGCTCTATGACTGAAGAAATACTGTGTGTGTGTATGTGTTTTCTCGACCGTCTATAGTTGCTGGGGTTGAGTCTTAGCTCCTGGACTTGCCTTTTAACTTTTTTCTTAGTAGGTTTACTTTCTTTTAGCCCCCTGGGCCTTGTCATACCTATTCTGAAATGATACCATTGCCTTGGTGCTATTATAGCCCTTCAATGACATTTTCCGGTGTATATATCTCGAGGGATACACATTTTCTCGGCGTTAATATACTGAGAGATGATTACAAATAACCCACATGGAGACAAAAACTCGAGAGATTAATTGATCTGTATATTTCGATTCCTGTCTGGGACCCTCTTCAGCAGGTCTGCTGAAGAGGATCCTAAAAGGGGGTCGAAATATACAGATCAATTAATCTGAGTTTCTGTCTCAATGTGAGTTGTTATTGAGCATTGACAAGAGTTCATTATATTTTAGTTATTCACACTAAGAGACGAGTATCAATGAATATTCACCGAAAGACCGGTTTCATTCAATTTCTATACACCAAGAGGTATAACTCTCAGCGTATATACGCCAAGAGGTTTAGGTGTGTGTATATATATCAATGTACATGTACTTAATGAGACTAAAGCAAGTTTAATTGTTAGTGCCGATTGAAACTGCTCCATTAATGACTCTATGGTAGTTGACAGAGTTCAAACCCAACACAATAACAACCCTGGTATCAGGTTAGCTGATGAGACCAACACAATAACAACCCTAGTATCAGGTTAGCTGATGAGACCAACACAATAACAACCCTAGTATCAGGTTAGCTGATGAGACCAACACAATAACAACCCTGGTATCAGGTTAGCTGATGAGACCAACACAAATAAAGCGTCAGCAGGTTTTTTCAACCTACCCTTACAACTTTCAAAAACCGGTTTCTTGACTGACGCCAGTCATGATGCAATTATGTGGCTTGAGGGATTGACTTAGCGTTGAAAAATATTATATTTTACGTAAAGTTAGGAAGCTCAAATATATTTTTATGTGGTAAAGGCTACCACACTGAAGGACTTTGGTGAAAGAAGAAGAAGAAGAAGAGGAAGAAGAAGAAGAGGAAGACGAAGAAGATGAAGAATTCTTTACTAGTATTATCAACATATGACTCAAGAAAACAAATCATTGCGAGTGAAATATATTTTGGTCCTTTGGCTTTCTTTCACAGGATGTCCTCGCAAGAGCCGGCTAACACCTACGTCTCGTAGCTCGATTGGTAGAGCACTCAGCTCACACGCTCTGGTCCGGGGGTCGATACCGGTACGGACGCGTTTCCTTTAGACACCTGCTGTCCATGATCACCTGGGAACAAAATTGACCTAATTTGCGAGAAATGTTGTGCATAACAAAGGGGCTTTCTATATAGTAGTATGTCATTGATGTCAGCTATGGTCTGTACAACCATACCCTGAACACCTGTACAAGCATACCCTGAACACCTGTACAATCATACCCTGAACGCCTGTACAACCATACCCTATACAACAATACCCTGTACACCTGTACAATCATACCCTGAACACCTGTACAAGCATACCCTGAACACCTGTACAATCATACCCTGAACGCCTGTACAACCATAACCTGTACAACCATATCCTGTACAACAATACCCTATATACCTCTACAACCATACCCTGTACAACAATACCCTGTACACCTGTACAACCATACCCTGAACCCTGT